AGAAACTTATTAACCCCAAATTAGAGATATTAAGCTCCTTAAGCCACTTCACACTTTAAACAAAACGTGCCTAAAAATATTTCTATTTTGATTCCTATCAATTATGATTATAATGTCTCCCTTTCCTTCTAACATGTAATCTTGAAAGGCTCTTTGCAGGGTATCTTCCATGGAGAGGGAGTGATGAGGTATAGGCTGCTCATAGAACATAAAAAGACACCTCAAAACAAGGGTAAAAAGATTAAGGACAAATAAGAAAGCCATGAATAAGAAGATAAAGGACAAAAGGATGATAAACTATTTGGGTGAAAAGAAGGCACAAGTTGATGGAAAATACAGAAAGACACAGGTGTAAGGAGTCTGGGAGAACATATCCAAAGGGATAAGAAATAAAGAAAAAGACGTGTGATTTGAGAGACAATAAAACAACTTTGATAAAGAGTAGTCAGTAGACTGAAGGTGGGTTAAGGAAAAGCCAATGACCTCTCATGGAGGGAAATTAATTCCTACAACAAGAAAGAAAGCTCTTTTGAGAAGAGATACATTAAAAGTCCTTTGAAGTTAGTTTGTTCTTCTGTATTCTCTCTTAATTTCTTAAATTAAAGAAAATGATAAAGTTAAATTTAATAAATATATTTTTAGTCGTCATATTTTAATTTTTTTAATTTAATTCTTATTATTTCACAATTTTATTTTTAGTTTATATTGTTAATTTGATCTATTAATATGTTAGTAAATATTAATTTTTGATTGGATTACCTAAGCTAAAGACATAAAATAATAATTTATTAAAATATAAGAATTAAAATAAAAAATTATTTAAAAAATTTAAATAAAATATTTACTAAGCTTAAAAATATATTAAGTCATCATAAAAAAAATATATATTAAGTTAATATAAAATTATAATAACTAACAGAGGTTGATTTAAGTGACAAATGACGGGTATCACTTAAGTAAGGTCTTGAGTTCGAGTTTTTGTGTATGCAAAAAATCTTCAATGATAAACTCACCACCACATCTAAGATCCAGGTACGCGATACAAATCAAATTCAGATTAAAATAAATAAAAAACTAAAAAGTATTAAACAAAATAATTAGTTTTGAGTTTGAGTTATTATTTATAGATTCATCTATTACATCTAGGTGCGCCATCCATATTAATCTGAACTAAATCGGAAGAGAGACAAATAAATAAATAAATTCAAAATTATTTAAAATCTCTCCCTCTTTAGAATTAATATTTATAAATTTTACATAAATTTCATAAATTAAAAAATAAATATTTATTAAACTTAAAAGATCACATAAATTAATACTTATCAGAATTAATTCCTAAAAACGAGAAATCATCTTAAATTTTTTTATTAAAAAATATTTATAAATTATATAAAAAAGTTTATTAACAAATTTTTTTGTGTATTATGTCATTATTATCAACTTTAAATATTTTTTATTTAAATAATTAAAATTTTGAAAATAATAATATTTTATCATATTAAATAAAATTAAAAAAAATATAATTTAAATCAACATTAAATTTAAAAATGTTTTATTAAAAAGAAAACACTCGACATCATTATTTATATCTATTTATCTACATATATTATTAACTCTAAAGAGTATAAAAAGAAAAACTTAACAATACTCTTCTGTAACAATTTGTACTGATAAATTATACATAAAAATTGATAAAAATTTTACTAAATTAAAAAATAATTAAAAATATAAATTTTAAATTAAAATATAAATTAATAAAAATTATATTAATATTAAATTAAAAATAAATAGTTAATACAAAAAATGTTGTTTAACATGATGAAAAGAATAATCTTTCTTAAAATTATTTTCATTTAAAATTTGTTTTTAGAACGTACCTATTTAAAATTTCTTCTAAAGGAATTATACGGATAATTTGTTAAGTGTTTGACATTAAAAAACGTCTTATATTATTTTTAAATTGACAATCATGATTATTTTAATATTTTAAAATTAAAAAATATTTATATTTTTAAAGATAAATAACTGAATTTATTATTTATTATATATAAAATAATATTAATAATTATAATTATTTTATGGTATGAAGAGTATAGAGTATTCTCTTAATCTTTAAAAAATTATAAAAATTAATAATTTGATGAGACATATGAAATGGAAGTTAGAACAGAAGCAAGAAAGAAAAAAAAGAAAAGAAAATGAATGTTAAAATAAAAAATGTGATCATATAATATTATTGTTTTTTTTCTTTTTTTTCTTTTTTATCTTTGAAATATTTTCCTTCATTCTTCTCCGTCCCCGAACTTGGAGGCGAGAAGTATCAATGGTAGGGTTGAGAACTTCACTCTCAATCTCACCCTCTTTTCTCTCTCACTCTCTCCCAATCTCATTCCCTTCATTCCTTTCCCTCAAACCCAAACCCTTTCTGCCCCCAAAGCCACTTGCAACCAACAACAACAACAACAGTGAATTGAAGCAAAATGGAAACTCACAACAACAACCACCAAAAGAAGAAGAAAAGGAAAAAGAAAAACGACCCATTTTGAATTTGAATTGGAACAGCCTTTTGGATCCTGACCCTGACAACGTGCTTGCTCTTGGATTAACGGGTCTTCTGACATGGGCTAGTGTTCAGGTTCTTTTGCAGCTCTTATTCATCTCCTTAGCCATTCTCGTTGCTGCCCTCAAATATTCCTTCATTGCCGCTCTTCTTCTTTTCATTCTTATTGCCCTTCTTTGAATCCCTTCTACTTCCTCTTCTTCATCTCTGTTCTTTTCTCTTTTTTGTTTTACATGTATACTTGTATTTGTAAATTTTTATTTTGTTTGCTAGTTATGGTGTTTGATTTGATGATTAATTGATAATGTTCATTTGCAATGCAATGGATAATTTATTACTTTTAGTTGCTTTTGTTCTTCATATTTGGTTGCTCTAAACTATAATTGAATTTATTTTTAAGCAAAGTTAATTATAAAAAATATGGTTTATTTAAATTTAAGTATCTGAACGGTCACTTAAATGTACATCGCTTCTTTATTGATTGCTATCACTCCCCTTTTCTGAATTGATTCTGGCCTTATTCATAGAATGCACTTTTTATTTTATTTTTCCTTTTATGTTGGGTTTATGTTTATGGATTTGAATTTCTATTTGATTTTTTTTTAACCCTTCACGTGGATTTTTAGAATGATTTTTGTGTGTTATGGAGAGTTCGTTAATTTAGCATAGCTCTCGCTATTGTTCTTTTTGGTAATTTTGTTCTTTTTCATTATCTTATCCCTCCTTTAATTTTTTTCTTGCCTTCATCATTCTGTTGGTGAACGCATTTTTTATTTTTTATTTTTTGCCTTTTTATCTCATATGCTCACTATGGATTGATTTCGTTTGCCAATTATTGTTATTCAGCAGATTGAAGTTCGTCTGCGAGCTAATTCTGCTTTATTTGGCATTATTCATGTGGTTCTGATGCTTTGTGTTCCTTTTCAACATGTTTTTCCCCATGTAATAAAACTTTATTTTTGATGTTTGTATGAATGGCTTTTAAAATTTTGACTGGTGGTGTTCTTTGAAACATTCTTTTAATGCAAATAAGAACCTTCCAAAATCCAGGTATTGAAATTGCTCTTCCATTTTATTTTTTTAATGGATCTTGCATATTGAGAAGGTAAGGTATTTGCATGAAGAAATGGATCAAAGGAGAAGATTGTTTGTATGACGATTAACCTCACTACAATTTGCTTACACTTTTGTAGTTTGCTGGAATGAATTATCAAAAATGGAATGGAAATTTTCTTATTGATGTGAAAATATAAATGGCAGTGGAAAGTGCCTCATCATCTTATTTGTGCTTTAACATTACAATACTGAGCAAGCCTGTATTAAACAATTTACAGATTGTGGAGCATCACGTGTGCCAAAAATGCTGAAAATTTTTCTCCGTGACATCAGTCCTATTAAAGCTTCATTAACATTGCATTACCCAACATACATGCTATTCTTTGCCATGTTTTTTGCTATTATACTTTTCTGAACAGTATTTTTTGAATTTTACATGTTTTTAATAACATTTTTTGTATAATATCTTTATCTTGCTTAGTCATTGTCTTTGCCATTTCTATTTCTCTGCAAACCAGTATTTCATATAAAGTAAAACAAACTAGACCAACCTGTTCCATTGGTAACTGTTGGTGGATTAGACAATTAAACAGTTCCAAGGATGAATAGTTGATAACTAAAAAGAACCAGAAATTTTATGTAAAAATGAAAGAAAAATTAACAAAGAAGTTATGTTTCTCTGTGCCTTACTAAGATCAACACTGGCAAAATGACTGTATCAACTGCTAGGATATAGTTTAAATTTTAATTTCATGGCATTCCACTGTAGCTTTTGTATATTTTTGGTTGCTCTCAGGTACTCTTTGATTGCTGCTCTGCCTATTTTCATTCTGTTCAAATTTATCTCACGCAACTTTCTTTTCTTATATTTTCTTTGTAAATGCTATCTGGTTATGTTTCCCAAATATGTTGTTTGAAACTATAAAATATGTGTTTGGAAACATGTTGGAAAACACAACCGGGGATCTAATGCAAATAGTTTTTTGTTCACCGTTGCATTTTGGGAATTTTACAAATAGCCAAAATGATGGTGAAAAATGTAATATCTGAAATAAATGGTCTTAATGGCATCCTTTCTCCTTGGTAACATTTTGGCTTAAAACTCCTAAAAAATCTCCATTTTTAGCCAAAATGAGAGTAATGATGTGATTAAGCTCGTAATTAGGTTGAAAATTGTCTTGTTCGGCCTATGAATGCTGAGTAATCCCTTGAAGTGTTTCAGTTAGCTTGTTCAAGCCCTTAATTCATATCAACTAATCCTTAATATTGTAGACTTTATTGCACTTTTACAGTTTCTTTATCGTTTTTTTAACCAGTCCATTTAAAACATTCTTAAAACTTCAAGCACATCCTATTGCAAGGATTCAAGTCCTCTCTAATTTGACAAAAACAGACTAGTTTTATTTTCCCATAAGTGAATAAGCGATTTTCGCTTTAAGCAGAAATCATGAATAAAGGAATAGAAAAGATTACATCATCCACACTTGCAATTGATACTAAACCCGATATTGGGTCTTTGATTTGATTGCTCAATTCATCGTCATAAGAAAAAAAAAAAAAAAGACTCCATATGGGACTCAATAGTTGCCAACTCTTCTACATCTTGTTCTTAAATGGAATTGTAGCAATCACAGGATCTTGATCCAATTGCAAATTCTCCATACTAGGAGAAGCAGTGAGTCTCCTCTTTCTCCTAACACCCTACAATTCTCTGTTCTGAGCATTCCTATGTAGTTGTTGTTGCACAATAGATTGATTACTAAGTGCTTTAACAAGAAAAGTCATCATCTATTGATGTTTCTTCTCAGTAGCTTACAACCTTGCTTTCATGGTCAACACTTGCTCCTTTGAATTGTTCTATTGCTGCCTCAACTTAACAATTTCAGCCATCAACACCGTTCTATCTCTCCTCAACTGTTCAACCTCCACCCACACTTTGTGGTTGTGTCACGTTCCTTCTTCTCTTTATCGTCTTCAACAAATGCTTCTGTCCCGCCAAATTTACTTACGTATGTGTTGAGATGACATGCGAAGCTGGAGAAATTGCTGTGTTTGAAGTAATGATGTAAAATGGTGGTTGAGAACTTGGGAGAGTTCCAAACGACGAAACTGTTTCGTGCTCTGCCACACGAAACGATGGAATCGGTGGAAGGGTCTTCGATGTCGTTGAAGGTGTTGGTGAGAAATGGAGGAGGACCCACCTCGTGCAACATTCCATGGGTTGGGGAGAGTGGTTGGAAGATGAAAAAGTTGTTGCTAATGGCATTGTCCCTTCCTCATTCACCGTTTTTAGAATGCTTGTTCCAAAGGAAGAAATGCGTGGATTAGCTGGTTGATAGAAATACAGAATAAATGCTTGAACTAAGTTCAGAAACAAAAATGGGAGAGAATAATTTTAAGATAATAGGGTTAAGTTGTATGTAAATAAAAAAGAAAATTTACGTTCTAAATATTATAATTATGTTTTTAAAAGATATTTATTTTAAAAAAACTTTTAAATGATCTATTTTAAATATCTAATACTTAAAAATCTATAACCTGCAAAATATTATAAATACTATAATTTTTAAAATTTGTTGTAGCAGATTATCTTATTAATTTAAATATAAATCATATAATACACTAACTAATATTTTTACGATACTATTCCAAGTAAGTGTATTTTTTATTTTAAAAAGAGAAAACTCTTTTTAAAAATGCAATCAAACATATTCTAATTTTTGAGAATTCAATTTTTACACTTTTGAAACCAGAATTAAGTTTTTTACGCATGCAAAAATAATTTTCAAAAATAAATATTCAGAATTAAAATTTCTACAATTTCTGAGATTATTTACTGAAATTCATTTTTTACACTTCCAAAATTACTAACCATTTCTAAAAATAAATTTCCAAAATTAAAAATCTACGCTTTCAAAAATAAATTTCTAGATTTAATATTTTATACTTATTGAAAACAATTTTCAAAATCATTAGTCATTTCTGAAAATAATTTTTTGAAATTAAAATTTTACATAAATTCTATTTTAGAGAAAAAAAAGTTACAAATTTTTTTAAGTGTAAAACAAAAAAAGTGAAAAAAGCAACTCTCGAAGACTTATGCAACACGTTTTAGAGTGTGCTTATGCAAAATAGAACAAATAAAATATTTTTGATGAACTAAAATTACTATATATTCTTCATGTTTTAGAGAAGTTAATTAATTTTTTTAAAATAAAAAAAACCTAACGTAATTTTAACTCCCTTGGACAATAATTCAAATAGCCAACACTCCTATCCCCCTACCTCAATTCCCAACTCCCTTGGACAAATAGAAATAGAAAAAGAAAAAGCTAGGAAGATAAAACAAATAAAATAATTTTTATGAACTAAAATTACTATATATTCTTCACGTTTTAGAGAAGTTAATTAATTTTTTTAAAATAAAAAAAAACCTAACGTAATTTTAACTTAATTTTATTTTAGCTCTTTATTTTGTTTTCTCTTATAAGTATTTTCGCAAAAACTTGTCCAAATTCATGTTTGGAAAATATAAACTAATATAATTTGAATATTATATAGAGCGAATTAATCTCAAAAGCCTATTCAGCTAATGTGCATGTAAAATAAATAAACGTAAAATTAAACTACTATTTAAGCAATAGATATAATTGAGATGGTAAAAGGATGTACAAATGGCGAATTGCAGGATTGAAGATGATAAGTTGCAATGTTACTAGAAGATGTACATTAATTTTCCCGTTGTAATAACAATGATGGGGGGAAAACGTTTTTGAAATGATAAAAGTGGGAATTACTTATAAATCTAATTTAGAATCCGAATGTCAATTACGATCAGTATTATCTATACAGCCACAGCAAGTAGTAATATAGAATATGACAATATGAGTAATGATGGTGTACATAGCGTATACGACCAAAAAATCGTAGGTTACTTTATCAAACAGCATAATTTAGTTTTTCACCAAGGTCCTGTCAAACCAAACATACATATACACAATCAACATAATTTTACATCTTATCATGTAAAATCACATTTAAGGTGTAAATTTTAGTACAGCTACATGCAGGGTAGGGGCAGGTTTTGAGTAGAAAGCAACTAGGGATTTTCAATGCTAGTTGAGGTATTTAAGTAATTTGGGGATTTTCACCATTGAAACTTGAGAATTTTATCTCTTTCTTGGTTAGGGATATTGCTTTCGTAGTTTTATTTCTAGTTTCTTTATTACTTTACATTTTAGGATTTGCCTATGTAAAGGATTATAAAAGACAAAATAACTCCAATATTATTAGTATTATTAGTGTTAGTTTCCAATGAAAATTAAAGATTCATCCCAACAACTTGTCTCGACCTTTAATACTACCAACCTTTATTACACAGGCTACTGAAGTAAAACTCTAAATAGTAGCTAGAGAATATTAGTTAAGACCGTTCTAACACAAAAGGAATTAGTATAGGTAAATGGTTGATAAAGTCCCTGTTAGGACTTAGGACAATTAGTTAAGACGGTAAGTGCCTGTTTAGTGGACACGATAACAAGGGTGATCTCTCTAAAGCTTACTTCCTTATCTAAAATAAGTGTAAGCTCTAACCTTAACCTTGTTGACACCCCTATTTCACAGGGTTCAATCTTAAACTAAGGCAATATAATAGGTATCCACCCCTATTTCACAGGGGACAATCTTAACTAAGGCAATATAATAGGTATCCCTATGGTAGTACACCTTAGTAACTATAGAGATACCCTTATAAAGCCTCGTACAAACGCAATATAATAGGTATCCCTATGGTATTGTATAAAATGCCCCTCCGCGGGGGAGGGGGTGAGGGCAGACAGTCCTATCCTATTTTATTTTTATGTTAGTTAATTAACAAGATATGGTAATTTTATCTTGTTGAGTTATTCTATCTTATCATTATAGTTCAAATTCTTATCCTAAAGGAAGTATTAGGTTAAGAATCATAGGATAAGATAATTTTTTTTTATTACATTCTTACTTATATTTTATAAAAAAAATAATTATTTAAAAAATATATAATTTAAATATTTTTATAAAAATTATATTAACATCTTTTAATAATTTTTTTAAAATAGTATATATTTTTAAAAAATCTATAGTTTTTAAGAAAAGTATATTTTAAAAATAAATGTAAAAAAATATTTTATTCATTTTATAAAATATATTTTAAAACTTTATATTTTTTTGTTCTTACTGTTATAATTTAATATCAAATAAATATATATATATGCATGCATGTGTATTGAATAATACAAAATTTAAATAAAAAATATTTTTTAAAAATTATATTAATTTTGATAAAAGAGTAATTTTTTGTTTAAATATAATATATATTTTGTTATATTATTTTTTATTTACCTCAAATATTAAAAATAATAACATAGTATTACCTATTTTACTATCTTAGTGTACATCAAACATAAGATAAAATAAAAACTTATCATTCTCTTGTCATATCCTATCTTTATCTCTCTCTATTTTATCATTTACTTATCCTATCATGTTGATCAAATGGATTATAATAATTAGTTAGCTAGAGTTAGTGAGTTAAATAAAAAGAAAAACGTAAGCAGAAGGGTTTCATTCTTTATCTTGTATCATTCTGCGGATTGAATTTCACTCTTTGTGAAAAGGAGAAATCCTTGTGAAGGGGAAACCTTTTGGAGAAGAGATCTCTCTTATATTGTCTACTCTTTTTCATTCAATTCATCAACATTTTTCTTTTCTTCACATTTATATTCTTGGTTCCAGGCTAAATGCATTTTCACATTTAGTGCAAATTATGCTCATGAATGATTTTGAATTTGAGATTATGAGTATGTAGTACACACGAGTAAAAACAAATAATAAATTGCTGCAATTAAATAAATTCAAAATGGAAGCACCTGAATAAACTGAAATCCCATTTATTTTCCTGTTCAGTATTGCCATTTCTCGTATGTATTCGGATTGTGGATTATCTGCATGAAGTTGTTCACCCTGTAGCATCATCAATTATTTGCTGCAAACATTTCATAACATGGGAGAAAGAAGGCCGTCTCCATGGTTCACTACAGCACCAACAGATAGTAAAGAGAATGATAGTAACGGAATTGAAATGTAAGATGCCATAATAAAATTTCAGATTCAACAGTAGAGGCAAGGTATCACAGAAAGTATCAGAATCTATTCAAAGAATTTAAATTAATTGGCCAACATTGGTTGGCACAACTGATAAAAGCGAACTGAGTTGACCAAGTAGGTTGTGATTTGAGTCCTGGCATGGCCATAGTTTAAGGTTGAGGACACTACTTGATCCCAGGACAAGACTAACATCCCCGACCCAAAATTTTCATCTATATAAAGAAAAACAGAGAATCAAAATTATATTTTTAATCCACTTACGTGGCCCAGCAGAGCTCAATCAAGGCAGCCGCTTGAGGATTCACATGGCTTGGAATCTCTAGCCTTTTTCCCATGAAACCAACAGCAGCCACAACCTACGCGAATAGCATTCTGATTGTCAAATTAAAAGCCATTTGATGCATATAAGGAAACATGGTGTATGCAAAGAAAGGCTAGTGAAAAAAATATACCCAGGAAAATCCTCAATTAAAGCAGATACATCCCGGACCTCTAATATAGATGGGCAAATCACAATTTAGGAATTGGAGAAAATATTCATATCAGAAACAAAAAATTGTTTTCTAAAAGAAGACATTCATTAAGATAAGGGAAAAAATTACATGGGAAAATTACATCAAACCAAGCCTTACCACACTAGAAAAGGTGGAAAATTTGTAAGACAGACATACGCAAGTGACCCAACAATAGAGGATTGTACAAGCTCTAATACTATTTACACTTGGCGTGGTGATAATACTTGAGAATATTTATCTCAAATGTCTCAATTTTTTATGGCTATAAACGCCATTCTTAATCAAACTTTTTGTGCTTAGCCTTCAGTAAATTGGGATTGCTGAATAGAAAAATAGACACCTTGTTGAAACTTTTCTTCATTGTAATATTCCATATCGTTTTTGGGGTGCTACTGCCTTTACAACTTGCTACCTTACTAATTGGATGTCTTCTTCTATTCTTAACAATCAAGTACCACACTCTTATTTCCTCATTAGTTTTTACATCCTATACCTTGTCATGTTGTTGGATCTACTTGTTTTGTTCATAATCTTAGTCCAGATTGTATCTTGTTCCATCTATGCTCACGACTCTTTAATTGTTACCTTATCTGAATTGATGTTACATTCTTTGAGTGAGTTCTCATTTTTAGGTCTTTTCTGTCACCTTAAGTCTGAGTTTGTCACATTTCTCGTCTCTTCCTCCTATTCATTTTGTTTTTCAACTACTAGAGGTGCCACCTCATCCACATCATTCACAAGTGTATTGCAATTGGCAACACACAACAACCACCATCCTTGCCCCATGGTGATGGGACTCCTTTCAACTTATTTCTAGCACCAACTTCTCCACCTCCTTCAACCTTGTCACCTGAACCAAATCTTCTTATTGCTTTTGGGAAAGGTATCCGCTCCAATCGTAAATTTTCTTACTATGTTGTTATGACATATCATCATTTGTCTCATTCAATATACTTGCTTTTTGTTTCTATTCCTAAGATTGCATGTGATGCTCTTTTCTCACCCTGGTTTGCAACAAGCCATGATTGACGAGTCGTATGTATTTCAAAGTAGTGGTACTTGGGACCTCATTCCTTTTCCTCCAAGGTGATGCAAACAGATAAAATCAACAAGGAATTTAAGCAACTCAAACAAGGGAAATAGAGGAAATGATGCTAGTATTACTTGATATAAAGGAGAAATCATTAGAATGAGTACTACTGCCCAGTGCTAAGCTCTTACAGAGAGCTAGTGCCCTCCATCCATAACTAACTTCTTGATTATCAGAAGATACCCCCTCTTGCCAACCACCAGTCCCATTGTAACAAACTCTCTCCTTACTTTGGCTAAGCACTTACTTCTCTTTCTGCCACATCACTCTCCTTGCCTATACATTTCTTCTTTCTTCGAGTATAACCTCTCAATAATGTGGGCTAGGCCTCATTTGAGCCCATATCTTCACCCGCAATCCTAACACAAGGAAGTCAGTATTGTCAAGTGCAAGTGAATTTACACTATTAAGGTTGGCCCTAAAGAGCATATTAATCACCTTAAATACTCTTTGGTGGCCAAAAGTTATACTAAATTCTTTTGTTTAAAATATGGTGACACATTCTCTTTGGTGGTCAAAATGGCTTCTATTTGTTTATTCTTATCCATGATTGCAATTCGCCATTAGCCCCTTTATTATTGACTTGAAATTAAGAATGCTTTTCTTCATGGTGATTATATGGAAGACATCTATATGGAGCAAATTCTTGAATTTGATGCTCAGGAAAAGTATTTAGTAGATAGATAATGGAAACGAAGCCAACAAACCAATATTAGCAAACGCAGACGGTGGAAAGACAAGAAAAGAGTTTTGTATATTAGTAGATGTAGATGGTGGAAAGGCAAGAGGAAAGGGGAAGATTTGTATATTAGCAAATGCAAACAACGGTTTCAGGTGATGGTGTTTAGGAAGACTGAAGAAGAGGAAAGATAGATAAATGGAAGCTTTAAGAATCTAGGATTAAAATCTCATGGAAAGTGTTTGACGCTAATAATATCAAGGATTAGAAAGAAGGAAAAACATACTATATCATATATGACAATAAGACATTTAAACATTTTGTCATTATATCTTAACGGTGTATGACTTCAACGATTAAATTATTTGACAGAGAAAAATGTCAAGGACTATCAAATGCATTTTAAAATCTCATGGACTAACATATCCAATGCTAACAATCTTAGGTACTAAATTGGAGATTTACTCAAAATTAAAGGGAAAAAAATCATAAAAATTAAAGTATCATTCTTTAAATATTTTACATTAAAATTTAAGTTTTTTAAAAGTTAAAAGATGACATTTTTTAATAATACTTATTTTTGAGCATTTATACTGATGTAAGGCTCAAGTGTCAAAGCTGAAAAAAATAATTTTTTAATTAGACACCTAATGAAAAGTGTCTGATACGTGTCCAACAAGTATTTAAGAAGTGTTGGTGTTAGAAATGTGTATGACACTGCGACACTTTAAACAAGTGGTATCTATTATCTATGCTTCAAAGACGGTGCTTTCAGCTGTTGCCTTATATAGTTTATATTTATGTACAGCTGTTATTATTTTATTGTATTACCATAAATAGGATAGAATCAGCCATTAATAGTATACATTAGAATCACCTAATAATAGTTTAGAAATCCCTGTACTTTAGCCTAAATTTCAGCATAATATTCTCTGTACCTAGCTTTATATATTGAATGAAAACTCAGGCAATACACATCTTTTGCCACTCAAAGCAAGATTTGATATGGTATCACAACCTACATTCTAGGTTTCCATTTTTTCTTTGACATTCGAGTGCAGGAATTTTTTTTTTTCCTGTTCTAGCCTCTTGTTTGACATCTTGGTCTTGCCTTTGATCTTCTTGAATTCTCTTGGTTTTGCACCTTTGAGGCTTCATCAGAATTATTTCTCTCCTTCCTGGTTGCTCTGGTCGTTTCTTTCCCATCATGGCTGGTTCTACTTCTGAGTTTTGTGTCAAAATTACTGGGAAGAATTATTCCCTATGGGAATTTCATTTCAGGTTGTTTGTTACTGGAAAAGAATTATGGGGTCATATAGATGGCATTGTACCAGCCCCTCGGGACCCTACACAACTGGCTCAATGGTTTGTCAAGTATGCTACAGTGATGTCTTGGATCATTGGGTCTTGTGATCAACAAATTGTTCTTCATCTACGCACCCATAAAACTGCCAAGTCCATGTGGGAGTATTTAAAGAAGGTTTACTATCAAACTAATTCAGCTAGAAGATTTCAATTGGAGTGTAAGGTTGCTAACTACACTCAAGGCAGCTTGTCTATTCAGTAGTATTACTCTGGTTTTCAAAATCTTTAGGCTGACTTTTCTGATATTGTGTGTGCTTCCGTTTCTAAAGAGTCTCTCCCTGCGGTGTTGGAAGTCCATGCGACCAGCTAGCGTAATCAGTTTCTAATGAAACTACGTTCAGAATTTGAAAATGTGCGTTCTAATCTGATGAGTCGTGACCGTACTCCATCCCTGGACACCTGTTTTGCTAAATTGGTTCGTGAAGAGCAATGTCTTTTCAGCAAAGCCACTCTTGAAAAAGACATTTTGATTGTTTCCCAGGTGGCTTTTACAGCTCAAGGAAGAGGCAACAATAGGGATATGAGTAAGGTTCAGTGCTTTAGTTGTAAGAACTATGGTCATATTGCTGCAAACTGTACAAAAAAAATTCTGCAATTACTGCAAAAAGCCAGATCATATAATCAAAGAGTGCTCAATTCGCCCGCCAAGATGTCAGCCCACTGTCTGTCAAGCCAATGTTGTCCCTTCCTCTACTGGTCAGCATGAAAATGTGGCCACACCTAAACCTGCTCCTCCTCCTATTCCTACACCTGTTGCTCTTACGCCTGAAATGGTGCAACAGCATTGGGGATTCAAGGTAAAAGTCTTCCACACACTAAGTCTTGGCTTCTTAATTCTGCTGCATCCAATCATATGACCAGTTCCAACAGTTTTCTTAAAAATGTTCGTCCATATGATGGTTCTGACCATATTCAGGTTGCTAACGATAATATTATTCCAATTTCTGCTGTTGGAGATATTACCCCTACTTTCAACAATATTCTTATTTCACCTGGGCTCTCACATAATCTTCTTTTTGTTGGTCAATCGGTAGACAATCACTATGATGTCCATTTTTCTTGTCTGTTCTGTGCAGAATCATGTGTCCGGGACAGTGATCGCGAAGGGTCCTAAAGTTGGACGACTATTTCTGCTGCATCTTCCTAGTCATGTTGCCTTGTCTTCTTCAGTTACAAACAAAGGTGAAGTGTGGCATAAACACTTGGGGCATCCTAATCCAGCTATTTTGTCCTACTTGTTCATCTCTGGTTTATTAGGACAATCTGATCAGACTTCTTTGTTTTGTCCTTGTTTTGACTGTTCCACTTGTAAATTAGGAAAAAATAAAATTCTTCCTTTTCCAACTTTGGGTAGTTGTGCAACAAGTTGTTTTGAGGTCATTCATAGTGATGTTTGGGGGATTTCTCCTGTTATTTCTCATGCACAATATAAATACTTTGTGACGTTCATTGATGACTATAGTAGATTTACATGGACTTATTTTCTTCGATCCAAATCTGAAGTACTTCAAGTGTTTAAAACATTTCTTGCTTATGTTGAAATTCAATTTGCTGCAACTGTTAAGGTTCTCCGATCAAATTCTGGTGGCGAATATATTTCTAATGAATTTCATGTTTTTTGTAATAAAAAAGACATTCTCTCACAACGTCTTGTCCATATACGCCTCAACAAAACAGCCTGGCTGAACGGAAAAATAGCCGTCTCTTGGATGTGGTTCACACCTTATTACTTGAATCAGCTGTGCCACCTACATTTTGGGTAGAAGCTCTCTCCACTGCAGTTTACTTGATTAATCGACTTCCTTCTCAGGCTTTAAATTTTGACTCACCTTTTTTTCATCCTTATGGTCAATATCCTGAATACAAGCATCTGCATCCCTTTGGCTGTGTGTGTTTTGTTCACTTGCCTTCTCATGAATACCACAAGCTGTTTGCTCAATCTGTTAGGTGTGCATTTATGGGGTACAGCACTAATCACAAAGGATTTGTTTGTTTTGATCCTGCTTCTACAAGAATCCATATTTCTCGCAATGTTATTTTCTTTGAGAATCAGCATTTTTTTCCATCTCATGATAGCTCTTCCCCTACAATGGCTCTTCTTCCACAATTTGATGATTCCTCACTGCTTGCCCCACGCTTCAAGCTTGGCTTTGTGTATCAACGATGTTCTTCAACTACAGCCACTCCCACTAATTTTGCTCCTATTGTACCATGACGGTGTCTCGAGTTTCTCGCCTTCCTGCCCGATATACCTCTTGTGCTGCTACGTTATCTAATATTTTTGTTCCCTCTTGTTATTCACAGGAAGTCAAACATGAGTGTTGGCAAAGAGTAATGCAGGAGGAGCTTCAGGCGCTTCAAGATAATCAGACATGGGACATTGTTCAATGTCCGAGTCATGTCAAACCCATTGGCTATAAGTGGGTTTACTTAGTTAAGCTTCGCTCTAATGGGTCTTTGGATCGTTACAAGGCTTGCTTAGTTGCCTTAGGATATCGACAAAAATATGGGATCGACTATGAGGAGACATTTGCTCCCGTAACCAAAATGACTACAGTTCGAACAATTCTTGCTATTGCTGCCTCACAAGGCTGGTCTCTTCAACAATTTGATGTCAAGAATGCTTTCTTACATGGTGATCTCAAAGAGGAAATCTACATGAAGCCTCCTCCTAGTTTGTTTTCCTCTTCTACCAAAGAAGTTTGTAAGTTGAATCGCTACTTATATGGTATCAAACAAGCTCCTCGTGCATGGTTTGACAAATTTCGCTCCACTTTGCTTCAATATAATCTTCTTCAAAGCCAATATAACTCCTCTTTGTTTCTTCGAACAACTGCTGTTGGAATTGTCATTCTTTTGGTCTATATGGATGATATTGTTATCACAGGGACTGATTCTTTATTAATTGCCCAGTTACAATAGCATCTTCAGGAGTCTTTTCTACAGATGAAAGATCTTGGTAACCGTACTTATTTTTTGGGATTGTAGGTACATAGGGACCCTTCTGGCATTTTCTTACATCAACATAAGTACACTGAGGAATTAATTCAATTAGCTGGTCTTCAAGAATCTTCCTCAGTTGATACTCCTCTTGAGGTGAATGTCAAGTATGAGGGTGAGCAACTTTCTGACCCTTTGTTATATTGACAATTGGTAGGAAGTCTCAACTACTTAACCATTACATGGCCTGATCTCTCTTTTGCTGTCCAGCAAGTTAGTCAATTTATGCACTCTCCTCGACATCTTCACATGGCTACTGTCCGCCACATCATTAGATATCTCAAGGGTACTACTTCTCGTGGTTTATTTTTTTCTGCTAGTTCTTCTATCCAACTTGCTGCATATAGTGAGATAGGGTGGCTTGTCCTAATACTCATAGTGAGATAGGTTGGTGCATGTTCCTTGGGAATTCCCTAATATCATGGAAAAGTAAGAAGCAAGATTATGTCTGCAAATCCTCCATTGAGTCCGAATATCGTGCCATGTCTGCTGCATGTTCCGAAATCACTTGGCTTCAGAGATTGTTGGCTGAACTTGGCTTTTCACAATCTAACCCCACATCTCTTCATGCAAATAACACAAGTGCAATTCAAATTGCTACCAACCCGGTCTATCATGAGCATGTGAAACATATTGAAGTGGATTGTCATTACATCCGTGAAGCTGTTGCTACACATTTCATTTCTCTCCCACATGTTCCAACCACTTTGCAAGTTGTTGATCTGTTCACCAAGTCTCAGACTCGACAACACCATCAATTTCTTGTGGGAAAATTGATGCTTCTCGATAAACCAGCATCAATTTGAGGAGGGATGTTGCCTTATATAGTTTATATTTATGTACAACCGTTATTATTCTATTGTATTACCATAAATAGGATAGAATCAGCCATTAATAGTATAGATTAGAATCACCTAATAATAGTCTAGAAATCCCTGTAATTTAGTCTAGATTTCAGCATAATATTCTTTGTACCTAGCTTTATATATTGAATGAAAACTCAGGTAATACAGATCTTTTGCCACTCAAAGTAAGATTTGATATCAGCAAGGTATTGTAGTATTAAAGTCTATTATAGATCTGATATTGGTCCACCCTCGAAAAAAAAAAACCTGGACCACGAATTTTCCTAGTAAAATTAACCTGACCCCATCGATTTCCCAACACAACTTACCTAGTCCCATGGCTTTCCCAATGTTGCTACCTACCTAGTCCAATGACTTTTGATGCAATACTAAAAAAAACAAACTTAATCCTACAATTTTCATGTTTCAAATGTCCAATCTTGAGCATGAAGGGATGTGTTAAGAGTCCCAAGTTGACTACAAATGTGGCCAAATAAAAGTTTACAAAGGTTAAAACAATCTTCATCTTATGAGCTAGCTTTTGAGGTTAATTTAGACCTTAGCCCAAATTTAAGAAGGTAGATAATTACTTGCCTAGAATAGAGTAAAATCTAGGGCAAAGTATTTGGGACTTGCCCAAATAATAGAATCTTCCCTAATAATCATACAATCTACAACCTATGAAGCTAAGATACTTAGTACAACACAAATTCGATACAATAAGAATGCGGGGAGACAGGAGATTTTTGAAAATTTAAAATATGATATGGCTTAGATACGTTAGCATGAATTAAAAAAAATAACATACTTTATGCATACCAAATATTTGTAAAGAGATATTGATAATTAATTTGTATTAATGTGTTACATTTGCATATGAATGATCACATTTTACAAAACAATACATGCAATTATATCTTTCCCTCATCCGAGTAACTAAGTCAAAATATGTCTCCTACTATGAGTACATAAAAAAAATTACATACTTTACCCCAATACAAGTTAGAATTTCACAAAAATAATTAGTAGTTCTATTCAAAAGAAATATAGAACTATCATAAAAAGAAGGCTCTGCCTTTATACTATTTAATACTAACTGTCACACTCACTTTCTCCATCCCCATCATCTAAAAAAAAACATAACTTCTAAGTCATCATGTACATCTCCACTAATATCTCACATCCTTGTCTCTCCTTTAGTATACTTTTCTTCTTTCCTAGACAAAAGATGAAGGTTGGAATGCACATCAACCAAATTCTCAGCCCTTTTTGGATCAACTTTGTTTCTCTTGGAAAAATGAATGAAAGAATACATACTTTAATTCCTCTCATAACAAGATGAGAAACAAGGCTGTACAAGAAGCTTAAGGGCAAGCTTTTGAAGTAAAAAGGTAAAAGATCCATGCATTACCCACCCAGATTTTGGGTCCAATGTCCACCTATCTTCAACTGAATCAAAAGAAGCAAAGTCACCTATACAAGATGAGAATTTTGAAAATTCAATAGAAACTTTTTTCTTTCCTCAGCATTAGGAAAATATCTCTTTAGACATTTGTTCCTGTTAAGCTATCTCACATTGGTTAGGAATAGAGCCAGTATGCTCCCTATAAGGACTAGGGTCAACATCCAAGATAATTGCAACTCCTATTTGTGTAAGAAGAGGCCATAGCTATACGAGATGAATGATGTTGTTGGTTGAAGACTTAACTGAAGTCTAGAATAGACGGGGAAATATTGAATCTCGCCATTTCAATATTAACTATGTTAAATGTATTGTATTCATTGACCCAAGTTGTATTTGAATGTATCAAGCCGTACCCACCCATATCAGGTCAGGAATTTATTTAAAAAATAAAAATAAAAATTGGACACTTTTTGGATGAGTATGTTGATGTATCCAACACGTATTGATATTGGGTACGTATCTGACAAGGATACTTTAGCAAAATTGGTGTATCTGGGCTTCATAGTCTACAACAAATAGGCTTATCATATATCTTTCTCTTTCTTTGTGTACTGTGAATACAATTTCCATTGCAATTTATCAATAAGTTTGCAAAAGATGAATGAATATGTGTCATGTGGAATCTTGAGCAAATTCTATTTCTTTATGTGCATGTGTGCACATGCGCATGTGTATGTATGTATCATCATGTACCTACTAAGAGAGCCTTTTTCATGAGAGTAAGAGAAGCAAATCTTGACCTTACAATTATACATGGATGGTCTAAATTAATGGTTACTTAAAGTCACATTATTACCTAAAAATGTTATATAAAAAATCAAATGACTTTTTTGTTTTAGTATTGATCATTCATAATAAGATCTAGGGCTTACTATTTGTCATTTTCACTCTCATAGAGAAAAGGCGCCATCACTTGATATGTCTCCTATAGACATACATACACAGGCACATACAAGAGAACTTGTCACCAATCACCAAATTGAAAGAAAGGTAATTTATTTTCTTCTATTTCCAGTATCACGTATGCTAGAAATTAGCTAAAAATAATCCAAGCACCATGGCAAAGCAAATATAACCTGTGAAGGATTGAATTGTCTCCATGGTTGTTGCAAGGTCACTAGTTCCCACAAGATTACACCAAAGCTAAATACATCACATTTTTCATTTGATGGTTCACCTCGTATGACTTCTGGTGCCATCCATTCAGGCTGATCACATTCAGAAAAGGAAAGAAGGAAAAATTTATAATGTGAAGTCATCAAGAATTATAAGAAAACTTAAACAAAATCAAGCACATGAATGCTTTTCAATTAATAAAATAGAACTTACAGTCCCAGCTGCAGTTTTAGATGAAAGAAATGTGTTTGCCTTTGTACGTGAAAGCCCAAAGTCACCCACCTTGAGTAAATATTTAAAATAAAATGGTCATCAACACCGCATAATCTTACATTCATATATCCACAAGTGTGTATGTGAGGAGTTTGTGTGTGTATGTATGTATGTATGGGGAATAAGTGTAACTAGCCCAAGTAATTCTTTTTTTTTTTGGGTGGGGGCAGGGGTGGGGAACAGTAAGTAATCACATTCCAGGCACTGTTAAGCATTAATAAATAGGTAATGACAAGGGATACATCCTGAAATTCTTGCTCACAATTTACAAGCAAAAAGAACAAAGTACCATAAAAGAGAGTCCCTTCTCTTTTCTTTTTTCTTTCATTTTATAATTAAAAGGGGAACTGAACCATTCCTCACTAGGTCATGAAGGATATTTTTCTTTGATACCATGTTGACATTATAAAGTTTCAGAAAGGGGAGAAGTGAAAGGGAATACAGAGGCTGAAATTTCTGAAAATGATAGTGGTTTGATGTGAGACAAAAGAAAAGACCAAGCACTAACCTGATTTATACCAATACTAAACTCCAAATCGTAATTATATAAGGAAGCATGTCATAAAACAGTGAAACATAAAAGGCAATCCCAAGATCGTATAAGATTAACATATTTTATGGACAACTAATAATATGATGATATATTTTTCAGATATTCTAACAGTTACCTTAACAGTGTACGAATCATCAACCAAAAGATTAGGAGACTTCAAATCTCTATGGACAATGGGAGGTCTCCTTTGATGAAGATAATTCATTCCATTTGCCTAGACAAACATATGAACATTTCACGAAATTTATTGAGAATACATTTCCTGCTTGATGCCAAAAATAGACAAGGAAATTGGAAGCCTAGCAGTTTTAAATCATTGAAGACATACCACATCAAAAGCCATACTCAAACGACGCTTCTCACTAAGTGATAATTCAACATTAGGCATACGCAGAAGTTCGAACAAACTGCCTCTGCAATTCAAGGAAACTATTTTCTTAAAAATCTTGCATTCAGCGTAAATCATTTCTTACTAAGCACATAAGTGAAGAATGCTACAACCATCATTGTTTCAGGAAATTGTAGTACCTTGATAAATATTCTGTTACTATTGATAACTTTGGGGGTTGAATAACTGCACCCATTAAAAGTACAATGTTTGGATGTCGTAGGCTCCTCATAAGTGAGACCTATGAAATAAACTGGGATACTAAAGTGCAATCAACATGGACAAAAAAAATTATGTGCAAATCCAATAAAAAATGTTCCCTGACCTTATTCAAAAATATAAAAATGAATATACATATAGCTTATGACGAACAATAATAATGCATACCTCCTTTAGAAATTCCTCAAATCGTTCAGAATCAAAACCTTGTGCTTTAAGAATCTTCACTGCAACATCCTAAAAGAGGACACAGGTAGAATTTAGTAATCAGATAGTGATGGGCCATTGACCCATGCACATAAGAGAAGAAAGGAACAGAGAAATGGGCCTAACAATAAAAGAGGCTACTTGGAGTTTGAAAGAATAGAGGAGGAAAAAGGGACAAAGATGGAAATTTAATGAAAGATGGGAGTGAATGAGTGGAGGAATCTGTTGGAAGACAGAAGGAAATGCTTAATGATGAGACATGTCATGCATAGGTTTATGGTTTAGATTAGCATTTAAATCATTAATAATCATACATTTTAGGTTGATTTCATCTTGCATTTTTATTTGTTGTAATTCAAGACTTCAAGTTATGGCTTTTGTGTGTTTGGTGTGCAGGCAAGTGCATTTTGGGAGCTAAAATATGAAGATTTGAAGGTCCATGGAAGAAAGAAACAGCATTGTAGCATTTGCAAGCCAAGAAAAGCATGAAAAAGCCAAGCCAGAGAAGTTAACCGTCTGCCAGTGTAAGGGAACATCGCTGTGTTTGCGTCTGCCATCAGAAATTGCAAAATTTCACACGAGAACATTGCCATAAGTGTTTCATACTGTGTAATCTGTTTTTTACTGTTTCTTTGGGAAATTAGATGGGCTGAAGACAGTTATAAAGCCCAAACTATTTAAACCTTGAGGGAACATGTTCTATAGGTGGGATCCTAGAGTACAATCGTCTGAGAATCCTAAAAAGATCGATGCAAAAGCATAAACTTTTTGGAGTATGATTTCCACAGATTCTTGAAGACATCTGTACAGAATGTACAATAGCAACACATTTCTAAGGAAAAAAATTAGGATTTCTCCTCATTCCTTCTCTTTTTCTTCTTGTTCTTTTGTTCTTGTTTTCCCCCATGTTTAGAATTGTTGCTTTGGCATGTAATCAAAACATGACGGAGTAGTTTTCTTGTTCTAGGCATTAGGAGTAACCCCATTTAGGATTGATGACAATGTTTTGAAAAGTTTATGATCTTTAGTTTACCTTGATTTTCTTGATTCAATTATCGGCATTTTTAATGCTTACAAATTTGTTCGAAACTGTTATTTACATGATATTAGATGTTAACAGGACTCGAACGTGAACCTTGATGTTGGAAATCTCAAAGTTGAACCTAAGATTCTAGACCATGAAAGTAGGCTGTTTCTTGAGGAACTACCAAACTATGGTAGATCTTAATGAGTTTAATTAGATATAATTACAATGAAAGTAGTTGGTCCAGTAAAATACATTATTATATTTGGAATGGGAATAATAATCACCTTAGGATAATTCTCCTTCAAGATAAATTAAGAATTAACAAAGGATCTACTTTATTGAGTTTGTCAATTGTAATCTATAGTGAAACTAATTTCAAAAAGTTTCTTAAAATTTGAATTTATCTTTTATAAACCAATTGTGTTTAATTTCTCTTTTCGTCTTTTCTATACTTCATTATTTTATTTTGATAATTGGGTGCATTTAGATAGTTGTATTGCAATTCTCCAACGTGAAGTAAATCATATAGGCCAAAGGATGGAATGTGATAGGGCATCAGAGCATTTTCACCCAAGGGGGAGTTTGCACTATCCTATAGTGTTCATTCCTATTCTTGAGGACTTTTTTTTTGGTTGATTTTTCTTTTCTGCTTGTTTTCTCTGTTTTAGGACTGTATTCTCCAGTTTATCAGAGATTTCTATAGTGTGAGCATCTGAGCACCTTTCATTTAAGTTGAATATTATCCAGAATTTGGTTTCTACAGATTATAAATAATAAGGACCCAATGATTAAAGGACACCATGAAAACAAAATATTGAATGACAACAATATTAATAATGATCATATTGGTAAGTAGGGCTTCCTTCTTTTTCTGGACAAATTCAATCAAGTTAGGCATCCCATTTGTTGAAATTATGGGGATTTTTTTAGGAGAACAAAGACTAGATACAATAAAATTGATATTGACTTGATTGAAGTGATGCGTAACAACCTACAATTTGATGATATAACCTAAAGTACCAACCCTTATTTATAATGATAATCTAACTGAATAAGGTAACATATCATGACATTAAGAAACATGGAAACTAGGGAATCTAAGATAATTTTAATATACCCTAAGTGCCTGTTTGGTGCATGGAATTTAGTATGGAATTGGAATTGGAATTGGGCTTCAAAATTTTAATTATCATGTCCGGACATCCATTTGGAATTGATATTATAATTTCATAGACCAATTCTATGGAATTCTATGACAACTAAATTTGACCAATTTCAATTCCTAACCTGCACCCTCGGAATTTGAAATCCTAATATTATAATTCACAATACATTCTCACGTATCATGCCTCTTCCTCATCTCCATAGTTTCTTTCTTGTCTTTGTGGTTCTTGTTCTTCTCCATGTACTTTCTTCTTCTCTATTTGCTCCTTTGTTCTCTCTTTTTCCTATGCATCTTTCTTCCTTATCCTCTATTTCAATTTTCTCTTATCCTTTTAACTCCACTTATTATGTTAATTATTAATAATACTTATTTTCCTATGTTCTCTTGTTTTTTCTCTATTCTCTTCTTCCTTGTTTTACATTGATTATTAATAAAAGTTGTTTTTCTCTATTCTTCTTCCTCTTGTTCTTCCTATTCTTCTTTTACTATCTTCTTTCTTTCTTATTTTTTGCATTTGTTAATGTTTATTATGTTTATGTTATTATATCGTATTGTTATTCTGCACTTACTGCAAACTATATTATATTGCTATTCTACATTTTTACACTTTTCGCAAATTATATTGTTTATGTTAATTATATAATAAATAAATTATTTAATACTATTATTGAATTGTTAGATGTCAGAGAAAATATTGAGTACAAGAGAAATAAAAAAGAGAAAACTAGTGTTTGATGCAATAAAGTGATAAAGACAATAAAAAATATACTTTTGAGGCGATTATATCATAAAACTGATAAAAGTTGTTATAATCAATTACATCTTACTAAACAAGTTTTTCTTTTTTTTTTTTAGTTTTGCAACATTTTATGTGAAAGAGGAGAGTACATGATACTTATCATGAAAGCATAGAAGAATCTGTTGTAATGTTTATACTTATTTAGCTTATGGTCTCAAAATGAGAGTTCTCGTAAGCACTTATATTTAATTTATATTTTCAAATTTGAGAATTAAATTATATTTATGAGCATATGTATGCTTTCATCTAATTTATGAGAAAGATAGTTCATGACAATATTAAATTTTAATGATAAATTAAACATAAAAAATAAATTAACTATGTCATGATTTTTGAAAAAGAAATATTCAATTATTATTTAATTGTATCATCTTTAATAATTAGTTTTTATTTTTAATTAACACATTATTTTTGAAAAAGTTATTAAATAAAATTTTAATGCAAAATTGAATTATTTTTTAAAAATTTAGATCTTACGTCACACTATAAAATTTAATTTCAACTTAGAATTATAATTTTACATTCTAAATCTTTTGGTATGCCAAATGTAGAATTATAATTCTAAACCAATTCCAATTCTGATGGAATTGGAATTGAAATTACAATTCTTTAATGTCAATTCTAATTCCATGCACCAAACAAGCCCTAAAATATTTTGAGACGTGATATACCTATATTATGTGAAATTCTAACTATCCCCCTCAAGCTAAAGCTGACTAGGCTTTAATTTTTTTTAAAAAATATGAGCTCCACACCATTCTTAATCTTCTAACCATAATGAATGACATAGAATCAGCAACAGCAGGCAAAATATTATCCTTAAAATGTGGACAGATGAACAGGCTTGAAGACATAAATGCTTACAGAACCACGCCAGTCCGCGCGAAGGACAGTTCCAAATGACCCTGAAAAACAGTCATCATTGCCTTATTTTATTGTTTCATGAGGCATTTTCTCAAAGAGAAATAGATTGCTTGGGCAGAATCAGCAATTTTTTAGTGTATATATATCATGCATGAGGATTCAAATATAAACCTGTCCCAATGTTCTCCTTCAAAATAAGTTCACTCCATGGAATATCCAGATCCTCCTCGTCAAGGTCTACTTCATGAATTGGATAATCCTTTACAGATTGGTTTGCTTCACTGAAGGACATATATTCCTCCATACCAGGACCTGCACAACATGGAATGTCAAATAAGGAGAATCAAATACCATTACAATAAAAAATACATTGTATATAAAACATTTTGAACATATTTATTAAATACATAGGTAATTTTATACATCACTCAGTTCCAATCAAGTATGATATACTCTATGAGAAAGACATGATCCATTATTTTTCTTTCTACTTTTAATTTTGTACAGAGAGATGATTCATTCATACTCAAAGTAAACAAATGGCTGTTTCCACCAGCATAATCTGCCCCAAAAGCTTCAGTTCTCTGTAGATCCATTCTTTCACTATGGTTAACAGCAGCTCCTGTCATGATGGAAATCAGTAATTTAAGTGGTGTATCACGATGTGCACAGAAAACATGATAATATCTTTATATTTCTCATACAACCTTTATACCCTGAAACTATATTATTTCCTCCCTCTATATAAAACAATGAAATATCATACACTATGCTGAAACAGTCCCACATTGACTGTATCTGGAACCAATAAGTATTGTAAAACTGTTAGGGCAGATTGTTAATTTACGTAGATTTTGCCATATTTAATTAAGAAAAGTAATTATTCAATGTAGTCTACAAAATCTATTGAGTACACTTTCATTATTCAGCAAATAATATTAAGTCCTTTCCACATCCTACAAAAATGAAATGGGGAGATGACAGCTAGGGATTGAAGGGCAAAAACAAGAAAAACCTTGCAACTTTCATCATGGAGCAAGGATCTTTGCGACAAAGACAAGAGTCAGAGTTTCATCTTCTTTCCTTCATCTATTTTCTTTGTTATTAGAAAACTTAAACCTAACTCACTCCTAAAAGCTAGCTCATTGGAGGAGTATTACCCAAGCCCTTATATGCAGTATTGTGACTTTATTCTTAGCCAACGTGGAACATCTTAACATACACATCCCTTACGCCCAAGACTAGACATCTATTGCATCAAGTTTGCAAGATTGGACATCTGCAGGTGATAATAGGACTGGACATATGTAGGCAATCCAACATTCAAATTAGATAGGCTCTGATACCATATTAAGAAATTTGAGTCTAACTCACTTCCAAAAGTTATCTAATAAGAGGAAGACTACCCAATCCCTTATAAGGAATACTGTGACTCTATTCCTAGCCAATGTGTGACATCTTAACATTTGTTCTTGATGTTTCTTGAATTTGGCATTTTATCTATAGATTCTTTATTGAACATGAGTGAGTAATTTCCCTTTTCTAGGATTTAGGGTAAGCCTAATTTGCTAGATGATAATGTATTGAATGTTCTTATCTATCTTATCAATGCATCATGAGTTTTGGTTCATTTTATGGGGTTCTTAATGCTTGCAATTGTTTTAAAAGTAGCTTTTGCATGATGTTAAACATTAAAGAGGGACTGAAACGTGAATAATGTCAGAAATTTGATAGGTCACTCCATTGATAGTTTGTCGCAACAGATTACTTAGTTAATCTCCATTAGTTGGTTAGTTAGGTGAGTTAGTTGAATAAGGTATGTTGCCTATAAATAAGAGTGGAGATTAAAGAGGGAGAGGGGGGGGGGGTCTTTGGATGAAAGGAAATTAGGGCCTTATGGCATTGGGAGGTGCAGACCCTTGAAGTTCTGCAGCGTGAGTTTTGTAATTAGAATTCATCCCTAATTCTTCTTAATAAGATACCTACTTATCAATTGGTATCAAAGCTCTACAATTTTAGGCACGTTCATGGTGGGAACAAGGATGGAAAGCCGAATAGAGGCATTGGAAAGAATTTTCTTGGATCTGCAAAAACAGAAGGAAGAGGAAGGTGAGCGCAGGTTGTTAATGGAGGCTCGGGTACGAAACACTAAAAGTATCGTCCAAGAGATATTGTGCAGATAGGAGAGATTCAATCGGGTCTTAATCACAATACCCTTGGGGAGGCCGAAAGTGAGAATATGGGCAGAAATGAGCACGTTGTTGAAGGGGATGATCGGTGGAAGAAACTTGAAATTCCAATCTTCGAGGGACACGACACATATGGGTGGATTAACAAGATCGAAAGATACATTCAATTACGAGGAGTATCGGAGGGAGAACACATGACAGCAGTCTTGGTAGCGATGGAGGGAAAGCTCTTTCATGGTTTTAGTGGTGGGAATCTTGCACCGGAAGTGTTTCTTGGACACAATTCCGTCAGGCAATCATTCGCAAATTCCAACCCTCAATGATTCAGAACCCATATGAGATATTGTTGGGGTTAAAACAAGAGGACTTAGTTCAAGATTATCGGGAACAATTTAAGATTTATGCGGGACCCTTAAGAATCACAGAACAGGAATATTTGAAAGGGATCTTTTTGAATGGTCTCAAAGAGGAGGTAAGGGCAGAATTGAAATTACATTCAAGGGAGTCTTTGTCAGAGATGATGGACATGACTCAACTCATTGACGAAAAAAACAGATACTTTGGAGAAAAGGAGGCACCGAAAACACAATAAGAACTATATGGGGTACCAATAACGAGAGTAACTTGATTCCAAGAACCTATTCTGGGGATTACAATAGCCGATTCAGACCTAGAGGGGCAACTGGAATAAATGAAGAAGCTCGTGTGGAGTCTTCTGCGCCGAACAATTCAAATTTGAATTCTACAACAACGAATAATTCTAGCATGAATTATTTCAATAAATCCACTGAAAATCTTGGAGTTAGTAGAAGGGGGAGAAATTTTAAAGAATTGTCGGCAGCAGAGTATAATGAAAGACAGTGAAAAGGTCTCTGTTTTAGATGTGATGAGAAATTTTGCCCGGACCACGTTTGCAAGAATAAAGAATTAAGGGTCATGTTGGAAGAAGACCTTGATGAAAGGGAAGTATTAGAGGTAGGAGGAATACAAGACAACGTTGGTGAGGTAAAATCAAGAATGTGGGACCCAGGTGGGGTTATGTAATCCTTCACCTTGAGGACAAGGTGAAGCTTTAGGGAGAGGAGTATTGATAGGTCACTCCATTGATAGTTTGTCTCAACAGATTACTTAGTTAATCTCCATTAGTTGGTTAGTTAGGTGAGTTAGTTGAATAAGGCATGTTGCCTATAAATAAGAGTGGAGATTAAAGAGGGAAGGGGGGTCTTTGGATGAAAGGAAATTAGGGCCTTATGGCATTGGGAGGTGCAGACCCTTGAAGTTCTGCAGCGTGAGTTTTGTAATTAGAATTCATCCCCAATTCTCCTTAATAAGATACCTACTTATCAAAATTCCTAAATTAAACCTAGGTTTAAATCATGAAAGTAGGTTTAACCCTTTGAGGATAAAATTGATTCACCATAGAGCTCTAAAGGGTATAGTAAATAAAACTATCCCCAAAGTAAGGATTAGTATAATTAAGCATGATATTGTATTCTGAAAGGAGCCAATAATTACCTAAGGATGATTCACCTTCAAAACTCTTAAAATTCAATAGGAGTGATTATTTATTTAGCTCTTCATCTATGCAAATTGCATTATCATCCTGTGGATTGTTAAATTTTGGCTTTTAAGATTTGTTCTTTTGCAATCTTTATTTTCTTTATTTAATTTAAAATTTACTTCAGAGTCTAAATAATCGAATTGTGATTAATTAGTATTTAACAACATAATTCCTATGGATATGATATTTTACTACTTGGAAAATTGTATGCTTGTTATGTCAAGTTTTTGGAGTCATTGTCAAGGATTGTGCTTCTATTAATATTGATATTAGTTGCAATTTTGTGAGACTAGACCTTTTTCTTTATTTTCATTGTATTTTGTTCTGTTTTATCTTTTTTTCCCTCTTTTCTCTCCTTACTTGCAGGTGAGACTACTGTTTTATGTGAATTACTAGAAGTCTTGGGAGGTAGCTGAAACAGATCCATAGAAATAACCTTTCGTGTGAGGAGAAGACAAAAAAGGCAAAGGAGAGAAGAATAGTTATAAGACAAGTCCCAGTTATGGCTGAAAACAATAACAATAGAATATTGAGGGACTACACTGTACCAAATGCTCAAGGCTTATGGTCTAGCATTACCAAACTTGAATTAACTACATATGTAACAAGCTTGGTGCATATGACGTATATGCTCTAACTTGAGGGGGAGTGTTAGAATCTATTAGAATCTTGTAAATATAGTAAATGTATATATTGTAATTATGCACTCTTCCCTATAAAATTGAATAGCTCCGTTGTGCCCAAAACACACGGATTCATTCCAATGTCTCTCAATATCTCCTCTCTCAACAATTAGGAATCTAAAAATTAGCAACAAGTTTCTTGATTTCAATTCTCTATCAAATATAACATCTAAATATAAGGCTTTGAGATAGTGAAAAGGGATTTTGAGCAGTGAATTGATATTACACCCCTTTTTCTTTCTAATGAGTGCTTTCATAATAAATATACATTGTAAAACTTGACCTGCAACCATATCAAGGGAACTATTATTGTTTGCATGTTGTTGAATGATAAAGGCACCTTAGTCCTTTGTTATGGACCTCAGAGCTTGATTGATGTTTTCCTTAGTTACCATTTTGAGTCTATTGAAATTATATTTCAATTTTTTTTTTGGTACCCTTGAAAATAAAACTGTTAGACATTTGTTTTAAGTACCTCAAAAAATGTATGGACCAACTTGACTTAAATCATAATTTTAGAAATTAACAAACTTGTATGATCTTATTGAAAAATGCTTCTCTCCATGAAAATGAGAAAAACAAAAGAGACAGAGAGAAGAGAAGCAAATTAAGATAAGGAAAAAGTAAAAGCAAGAAAGAAAGAAAAGGGAGAAGTAAGTAATCATGGAGACTATTCACAACACTTTATTCTCATATTGTGTAATTGCTACATATATAAATCTTGAGGGAATGGTTCTATTGATTGAATTTTGTATGAACCCTTTGAATATCATTTCCTTTCATACTGCCACATGTTTCTCAAAGTTCCTCAGCAAAATTAAATGAGCCAAAGACAATTATGAAGTTCAAGTCTATTTAAACCTAAAAGAAACACATTCTAAGGGTTCTACACCATTAGCAAGAAGAACTCTCTCAACAGGATCAAAGCAAAAAGGGAGACCTGGAATATGATTCTGGAAGGCATTTCTATGAGATCTACAAGAAAGATGTGTTTCTAAGGGCTAGATTAGGTTCTTTCTTGTTTCTTCCCTAATGTTTCTTGATTATTGCTCCCCATACTTCTATTTGTTGTTTTGACTAGTACTCAAACCATAGCTGAGTAGTTTTCTTATTTTAGGGATTACAAGGATCTCAAATTAGGATTTAGGATCGATGACAATGTTATGAAAATTATCAGATCTTTTGTTAATCTTGATGACCTTGTTTAAATTTTTGTGCTCTTAATGCTTGCAAATCTGCTGAGCCTCTTATTTGCATGATGATATTAGACAATAAGGAAAGGATTAAAAGGTGAACCTTGCTCTTGAAAATCCCAACATTGAACCTGAGTTTTAGACAACGAAAATAGGCCAGATTTCTTGAAGAATTACAGAATCACCATAGAACTTAATAGGCTTAATTAGATATAATTATCATGAAAGTAGAAAGTAGTCTAATTAAAAAATTATTTATTATGAAACAAAATAATAACCACCTTAAGGTAATTCACCTTCAAGATAAATCAATAATTAATATAAGGTCTATTTTGGTTAACTTTGTCAATTTAAATTTATAGTGAAACTAATTCCTAGAAGTTTTTTAAGATTTGAATTCATCCTATTTAAATTAACTGTATTCTTTAATTTTCACTTTTTCTCTTTTTTCATATATTTCTTTATCTAATGCTATTATTAGGTGCATTTAGATAGTTGAATTGTAATTACTTGGTATTTAATGGCATAGTTCCCATGGAGACGATATCTTTTTACTACTTGACAAAACTAGTGCACTTGTAGCCTATCACCCCTCAAATAATAGTTCCCAAATGATGGCATCAAAATTTTCCATGCTAGAAGTAAGTCTACTTCCTCCTAAGTAAAGCATATTTAACTTGTAAGACTTGAAACCATTGTGAAGTCAACATATTAAATAATAACCTAAGCACTGCTAGTACAAGCCAAACTCTAATATTTAACATTATAAAATAAAATATCATAATAATCCAATCAATCTAACACATTTGCCCTTTCTGTGAGGTAACTTCTAATATTTCAGGTAAAACCGAAGATAAAATGTAGTTATTGAAAATTCAGATATAACTATAAAGGCACAGGCCATTGAAACCAAGGAGGAGTCTATAATTTTCAACATAAAGGCAAATAAAAGGTTACCTCTCTTTCCCCAAGAATCTATTTCAACATGGTAACTATTATTTTAAAAAAAAGAGCATCTTGAGTGACAAAGAAAATAATAACCTGATGTGGTATCAAATACAAGATGCAGTGCTTGACTGTCCAAGAAATACATTTGAGCTAGTGTCTTTGTAAATTCAGCTGTTTCAACTGGCTTGAACTTTGGATGACATAATGGTGAAGGGATCAACATTGAAGATGCAGAATTCAGTGAAGAATCAGGTTGGCATGTTGCCCCAGGCCTTCCAACTAAATCAATTATATACTCCCTGGAAAGGTGTATACAATATCCTTATTTTAATGAAGCTTATTTTTGTTTCTGATAATAAAATCATGGCATACATATTTTCCACAAAATATGAAAAATAAACAAAATAAACAAAAATTGAGCACAATGATGAACAAGTTCCCTCCAGTCCCCCTAAGATCTGTCAAAGACTTCAACAAACCATAAAAAAGTACCATTGAACTAATATACAGCATAAATATTAGCTTCCCATCCCTGATAAATATTATATACACAACCTTGAGGTCATGTTCAGTCCCAGCTTTGAAAATGCTAATAAATGTAATACTAGGCTTTTGGTAGAAAATGTTACAAAATTAGTTAGTTAGGTGAAATAGTTTGAATAAGACATGTTGCCTATAAATAAGAGGGGAGGTTAATTAAGAGAGGGATATCTTAAAAATTTAGGAGAAAATAAGGTCTCTCAAATACCCTGAGTTGTATTAGAGAATAATACACATTTAGTCTCTTTTCTTCATCTATTTTCTCGATTGCTTTCTCTGTCTGATCAAGTTCTATGAATATCCATATGGAATATCACTTTTTAATTCAAAAACTTCTAAGTTTTTAACAGAATATTCTGAAACATTCATCTTTACTATTTGAACACTTTTACCCCCCTCCCCACAATGTTGCAAATAATTCAAAAACCATTCATACTCAAATTTTCCATGTGATTTTAATTAATTAGCAACAAACCTCTCAGAACCAAATTGCACTATACATGAAGCACCCACATCCTTCCTACAATACTTACAGCCCTTTGCAATACGACATGGTAGATTAACTACATCAGCTAACACCTGCAATTTTTAAATTGTTAATAGGGTATTCCAATGTAGCATATAACCAAACTTCAGCAGTATGCAAAATAAAAAATATTCTCAGATAGAAACCTCAAGTTGCCTGAATCACTATCAAACAATGAAGAGAATAAAATGAAGAGTAAGACAAATGTTAAGTATCTTATTGATAATGATATAAAAATAATGTAACCAGAAAATCATCTAAGTATAAATAATGCATTAAATAATGAATAATACTTTAAACAGCAATGCTCGATGGACACAAAGGCCAATGGGTAAGCTTCCAATTGGAAGAATGACAGAATGCAGGCAGCTTTTAAGAATTTGGGTGCATTCCTTCCAGCGTGTACCTAAATTATCTTCCATTGAAGATACTCCCCTTTAGAAAACAATAAAAACTTGTTAGGAAGATGTTATTGCAATTCTGATAATGTGATTGTGACATTCCAAAAAAAAAATATTTCTTTTTCTTTTTTTAAATTGAAGACAGGTAACTTACCCCATCCTACTGCAAACAAGATTTGCAAGCTGATCAGTCGCATCTTTTGTAGTAATCCAGTTATTTGAGAGACTTACTACCCTACTTTGCAGTTCTCTCAATCCAGGATCTCTGGCTTTATCTATAGCAACCACTACAATTGATGAGTCATCACCAGGTTCAACTGACATCAGTGATTCAAATGATGGAATCATACCAACATTCTGCGGATCAGTACTTAGTGTCCATGTATAAGCATCCATCCCATGGATTAGGTAAAAGCCATCTAGAATTTTGTCACAGTATTGCAAACAACCATTCACCTGGCCAATGAGAAAGCAGGAAAACACTTAATATAATTTCAGTTAAAGGAAAAGATAATAAACATTCAAAACTTGGGCATATGAAAATCGTAATTCTATGCATTAAGCATTCAATTTAAAGGAAAGGTGCAGGACGATTCCAAAGCTACTTTACACAGTCAATACCCAAATACAACACTCAGTTGATGAAGTACAGCACCACAGATACAACAGAAAGGCAAGCTGAATCACTACATGGTATATACCTTGTGAAGCTGCTCTATAAAATACAGCAAGATAGAGTACGTGATTGACGGATGACTGTTTTAAATTTATCTTCTAAAAATAGTCCTTCCTACGCGAAGTGTCCGTTTGGTTTGAATTTCACAGAAATTTTTTTCATAAGGTAATCCAAACAGGCTCTTACTTTAATAGAATTGATTTGGATTCTGGAACCATTGAACGTGACAGGGATCTATGTTCAAATTGATCCTATCCACAAATTTTACTTTAGAAATTGACTCTAGCCTCTAGGCAATACTAACCAAACAAGCACTAAATTGTATACACGCAAACTTTCAGATACCAAATCAACAAATTGTATATGCACTCTAATTAATAATAATAACAACAATAGTATCCACATTGGAATTTCCATTTCATTGGCAGAGAAGTGAAAGATGAGAATACCCAAAAGTGGTGTGAGAGTGTCTGGGCGGAGTGATCTGAAGAAGAAGCGGAGTTAGAGGAAAGGCGAAGCGCGAGAGCTAGTTGTAACTGATAGCTCTCTTCCGTTTGTTTGGCCCAACTCTTGAACGAACCTTGTTCTTCATCATCACCACCCACCCTCGTCCCCATGTTACTGTGCCTGTCATCAGATTCAGATTCACCACCACCGTACATTTCTTCCTTTCTCGGAATCTGAACCCTCTTCTAACTTCCAAGCATCGCAACTGCCACAGTTCCGTTTGTTCCTTGGGTTGGGGGTTGCGTGAGTCTCATTTACTCTCGTGCTTTTTATTTGGTCTTGTTCTCCGTTATCTTCTTTATAATATATATATATATATATATATATATATATATATATATATATATATATATTCTAGCATAGAGGAGTTTTGACAACTAATTACTAAATTAATCGAAAAAAAACTTATTAATAAGTTTGGGGTAATTTATGTCGAGAGTTTAATCATTATTATTTTGCTTTTTTTATTCTTGTTGGTTTCACATTTTTTAAATACAAAACTGTTTTATTGTTTTTTAAAAAAAAAAATTTACATGAAAAATAAATAAAACTCTCTACTTTTGAATCAAAAAATAAAAACTTTAAAGAAAAATTTGTTGCACTAGTAAATGGTAACGGTTGAAAATATTAATTAATGATCCTAAGTGTTAAATATCTAAAACACACACAGTTATTCTTTTTTTAATTTTAAAATATACATTTACTTATTGTTTTTATACTATTTTTGTATATGTGGGTATTTTTTTTTAAATTTTTGTGGCTCTTACAATGATGAGATATGAATTATTTTTCTCTTTTTTTTAACTTTTTAACTAAAAAATAGTTTGTCAAAAAGTATTTATTAAATTAATATTAAAAAATTATTTATTGGGTGATTTTTATCACTTCAGCAAAAAGTTTACTTTTAAAAGGAGAAAGTTATTTAAAAAATAAAGTTATGCATTAGAAAAATAATACATAATATTATGATATGGCATGATTAACTAATCCCACCTTTCAACTAGACAAAATTATGTATATCTCTCTTCACATTTCAAAAATGTTATTTTTTAATTATTATTATTAGACTTAAACACGTTATTGATCTTTATAAATATAACACATTTTGTTATAAGTTCTAATAATATTTTTTTGTTAAAATTTAATTTTTAAAATATTAAAAAGTTAAAATTTAATTTATGCCATTAAATTTTTTATGTTAAATGTTATACTGACTTTTTATATAACATGTCATGTCATTTTATTTTTTAATATTTTATTATTTAAAATTAATATTTATAAAAGTTTCTAAACACATTTTAAATATTTGTCAAAAAAAAGTTTCCTAAACCCAAATCCCTTTCTAGTGCCTCTTTCACCACACCAACCACATTACATCACTCAAAAATCATTTCTTCAAGCATTTATAGAGCCAAAGGGAGAGGGAAGAGGAAAGGATGGAGTGAAGGTGAGAATAGGATTGAAAGGAAGAGAAAAAGACTTAATTGCAAGTATTTAAAATATATTCAAGATGATTAAGATGCTTTCTAGTTTTGATTAGGACTCATCAATTGATGTGAAATCTAAGTTTGATTATTGCATGAATATAAATATATCAAAATTTATTACATAATTTCATTGATCCTAAAAAAAATTACATCTAAATTTGATTTTAGAATTTGAAACACTTAATTATTAATATCCATTATTAAAAAAAAATTCATTAAAAAAATAAAAAAAATAAAAAAATAAAATAGAAACAAAACATAAATAAATGAAAAAATATTAAGGCCATTAAGTAAAAAAAAAAAATACCTATTTTAGTTCTTTAATTTATTTTATAAAATAATATTTATATTAATCTTTTGACGATGATGAGTATAAAATAAAAATGATTAAAATAAATAAATTTTAAAATATTAAAAATTAAAGTAAATATTTTTAAAATTAAAAATTAAATTGATTGTTATTTATAATTTTAAAAATTAAAATAAATATTTTTTAAAATTTTTCTCAATTTTTTATTAATATAATGAATATATCTCTACTTTTCTATTATTTTTGTTTTCATTTTTTTTTCAATTTTAGCAGTCTTTTAAAAAATATTTCAAAACAAAACTTTTAAACATTAATTATTGCCCAATCTTTGTCAAATATACGTGTCGACGGGAAAGGGAGTGTAAGTGGATGTGTCCAAAACGACTGTCCAGAAGTACAGACTGAGGAAAAATAAATAGAGAAATTAAGAAGAGATTCTTATAGAACATTACACGGACTTGAAAATAACAGCTACAAGAAGAGAGTGCTGAAAAACACAGCTAAAGCTATACCCGCTGCCATTTTTCAAGGGTTTAGTTTTTGATTCGTTGTTTGTGTCAAATTCGTACATACATAGTTGCGGTTTTGGGAGAAAATCGACATGGCGAAATTGTCGTCATCGTCATCGTCATCGTCGAACTCTGAAAATTGTGGAGAACTCGTTTGCGTGGGAACGTTGGAAATCGCCACTCCGAAACCCGTTGGGTTCCTCTGCGGCTCAATCCCCGTTCCCACTGACAAATCCTTCCACGCTTTCCATTCCGCTCTTCTCCCTATTCCCCAAACGTACATTCTCTCTCTCAATAACTATTATTATTATTATTATTATTATTTGAATTGTCAGTCGTGTTTTGAGAATTAAGTGGTTTTTATGTTTTTTTTTCTGGGTTGTTTGATTTTGGTTTTGTTTATGGGATGGTTATGGGTTGGTTGGTGCAGAGTGAATGCTCCGCGTTATCGTTATCGGATGCTGCCAACGGAGACCGATCTGAATACGCCGCCGCTTCTTGCGAATTTTCCGGAGAAGGTTCTTCCTGTTGGTGCTGTGCACTCCAAGACAACTGGAGGAGGTACTTATTCTTTTCCTTTGGAGTAATTATATGTTGTAGAGCATAACTTAGGTACAAGGAGTTTGGAGTTTTTGGCACTCTTCTCTAATTAAAATTAGATTTTTACTTTCATAACTTAAGCAATAAAATTTGAGTTTGCTTCAAGGGTTGTTTGGAAAGGGAGGTGGTTTGGGAGGAAAAGGGAGAGGCGGGTAATTTTTTTTCTTTCTAGATAAACATTTTAATTCGATAATTTTTCATAAGAAATGAGATAAAAGGATAGAATACCATAAATTTAATGTATCAATTAATTATTTATTATCGTAAATGATATATAATTTTATTATATTAACAACAACATTTTTTTCGCTCCCCTCCCTTCCCCCTCAAAACTCCCCTCCCAAACAACCCAGGGAATAATCAGCTTTAGTTTGATTTTTGTTTTTGTCATTCTAACCTCTTGGGACTTCCATTGGTTTAGCTGCATGAGTCTAGCTGTAACCATATGGAGAGATGTGTACAGTGTAGTGTGTCGTTAATTATTTTTGAATGAAGTGATATAAGTTATCTCATCTTGTGCATAAGGCTTGGTTTTTGCCATAAAGCGATAATTAATGTCACGGAGACAACCCTACTAACACAGTTATATCATGGTGCTGAGATTGGTATCTAGTGTTGTATGATTGCTCTGGTGGTAGTGGGACTTTTGTTAGCAGGCCTACAATCAATACGGTTACTTAAGGGCAATGTTAGAGGACTTGAGACTCAAATCTGTTACCCGCTGTAATAAGCAATAACAGTCTATCGGATAGTTAATAGTTGACACCTATAATTATAAATAGGAAAAGATACACGTAGTTAGTTAGGAGCAGTCACTGATTGAGAGAAGCCTAAGGGATGGTGTAAATTTTTGGTACTCCTGCAATACCTACTCCCTTGCAGTTAATTTTCTTTATTTGGCAACTTCTTTTTATTTTTAATTTCTGGAAAAAGATTTGAATCAGGGACAAAATAACCGTACAAAGGTCAGTGTTGGTATTTTAAGACAAGGAGTATGTACACTTGGAGGACTGAAAATTTTCTGAAGGAATGGTCCAGGACTCTCAAATCTCCTGGAGTAGCAGAACTATGCGCTTGTGTTCAACATTGTTATTCAGTATCTGATCTCATATCCTACTGATACCATTCCATAGATAGAGGAGTTTATTGATAAACAAAATGAAGGCATGATTGGTATCGTTGGAGATTGGTTTCAGCATATGGAGGAGAGAGATGGAGGTAGAAGAAAGGAACAGTCAACAAGGGAAAGGGAAATTCAAGAATCTCAAATAGAACTTCAAGAAGCTTGACTAAAAATATGGAAAATCTTTGTTAAAAATGTCATGTGACCTTCAACAGGGGATCATTGGGAAGACCATCATTTGTGGCTTTGGAAATTGGGAAAGGCAATGATGGGTCTGTTGGGGAAAGATCTGGTAGGTCTAATGGAGGTTGATCGAGGAGATTGGAGATCCCTCTGTTTTAGGGAGATGATGCCTATGGGTGGATCAACCAATTGTAGCGATGTTTCCACAGTGATGGATTATTCAAGGAAAAGGGCTATAGGCAGTGATGGTGACTATGGAGGGATGGGCTTTGAGTTGGTTCCAATGGTGGGAGTCTAGCTTGCCCCACCCATCTAGGGAAGTACTAGAATTGAGACCTAACTTAACCCAAAAAGTTAATTCCAAGAGAGAGAGAGAGATCATAAGGATTATTTTGACCATGTGCCCAGTTGATATGAGATCTTAGCACATCCACTCACATCTAAGATTGAACATTTGGAGTATAAAGTTTGCAGGATTGGATATTTGTGGGTAACCCAACATATGGACTAGAAATGCTGTGATACAATATTAGAAATGAGAACTGTTTGGGCCTAAATACATCAAATGTTAGCTCAAGGAGTGAGGATTCACTTAATCATTATAGGGAAGGGAGTATTTTGACCATATTAGCTATTGTGGGTTCTTAACAGGAAGCATTAAGGACTAGTCATCGGCAATGTTATCAATGACGTATGGTGGCTTATGGCGAAAACTCAAAAAACTGCCATAAAATTATGGCGGCCGCCATGGCGGGTTATGGCGGATATAATAAAATATATAAAAACTACTATAAGTCAGAAAATAATAAAAAATAATTAACTCAAAATATATGTAACATAACCTTCAATCCAAAGTATAATTCAATATAAAATATGCAATTATCAAAATGTCAAGTTAACAATAAAAATAAAGATTATCAATTTAGTCCTCCACTTCAACTTCAACAAAATCATCCTCTTTCTCATCTACCAAGGCATATCCCTCCTCCTCTTCTCTTTCAGATTGTGGAAGATTAAATTGTAATTTATCTTTTGTTTCTTCCGACGTCTCTTCATCTTATAATTCTTCATTATCTTCAAGAATCATTT